GATAGATAGATAGATAGATAGATAGATAGATAGATAGATAGATAGATTAGACAGACAGACAGACAGACAGACACAGACAAGCAGATGATAGACAGGCAGACAAATAGATCAATAGCAATAACACTTAGACTTATATACCACTTCACAGCCCTCTCTAAGCTGTTTATGGAGTCAGCCTCTTGCCCCCAACAGTCTGGATCCTCATTTTAATGACCTCAGAAGGATGGAAGGATGAGTCAATCTTGAGGCTGGTGAGATTTGAACTGCCAAATTGCAGTCAGTCCGCAGAAACGGCCTGCAGTGCTGCATTCTAACCACTGCGCCACCTCAGTTCTTCTGAAGAACGTAATGAGAGATTCTGACCTTTGGCCAAGGTGCTATCATTGAACGTCATTGGGAGGCAAAATTGCACAAGAGAACCCTCACTGATTTTGACCATGTCGTGCCATGGAAACTCACTGTGAAGAAAGCAACAACGTTTGGAAGGATTTATGGTAAAAAGGAAACCAGGCCATCAAAGAACGTGGTGGCTGGGCGCCATCAAAGCTGACCATCCAGCCAATGCCTAGAGCCACTCAAAAGAAGTTTTGAAGGCAAGATCTGGAGAGACCTGGCCCGTGGGAATACCAAGACTGAATGGATAACCATCGCCATCCTCCACAAGACCAAGGCAGTTCTTTGGAGGTCAACTCACCGAGGTGTTCAGGTGGACCACGCAAACGAGGGTGGCCGAATCGATGGACCACAGCTCTTCTTCTGGCTTGTAGGTGAAGCTGAAGCGTTGGGTCTTCGGGCTGGGGGATTTCAGGGTCACCACCGAGTAGCTCAGAGAAACCCCTTGGTGGAAGAGCAGCTGAGGCGTGTTGTCTTGGGGTTTTAGGAAACAATCCCCCATTTCTAGGGAAAATTGCTTCATGGCCGTTCGGAGCGAGACCTGTTGAGGAGGGAGGTGATGTTGTCGTTGTTATTCATCATTTAATAATGCCGTAATCCCTTGCGGGGTGGAGTCTAGGCAACTGAATGGAGCTAGCAGAGTGTTTATTTGGCCGGTTTCCTTTCTTGTTGCCAGAGCGGAGTTTTTGTTCAGCAGATATATTCTCATTGTGCCCAGAGAGAGAGAAATATCTGCCTAGGATCGAACTCACAGCCTCCTGATTGTGAGGCAAGGATTCCACCTCTAGGCCACCACAACACTCATTGAGGAGGGAGGTGACGGGGCCGGTGGGGGGGGGACCAAGACAATCTTAGTCACAACATTATTTTCAAGGACACTGGTCTGAAATGAAGGTGGGTTTGGTTCCCCCTCTTCTCACCCCTTACTTTATCCCTGCATTAACCTATTTCCCATATTCAGACAACACTTGGACACCCTAGATTCGCCCACCAAACTCGGTTTGGCCAAGATGTGGAGCCACATCAAGCTTAACAACAACCCCACTTTTCTTGCAAGTTTGTTTTTGCATCTGCTGGTTTTGCCTGGTTGGGTCAAGGGTGTTTTCTGAACATTGCCTTCCTTTTTTTTTTTGTAATAATTTTTTATTGTTTTTATATTTTAAATACATCTCTTTCAGTGAACGTGGTTCCAGGTTTATACTTCAACACAAACATGACCTTAGTACATATTTATCTTTCACATTCAATTCTATATCAAATCATTACTTCCATTTTCCAGTAATTTTTCTCCATTATTCTTATTTTCTTTATACTTATTAAATTCATTTTCAATTTATATCTTATCTTAATTCCTTTTTCTATAAATGTTCTCAAATTTTATTCTATAGTCTTAACATTCTTATTTTTTAATTCTAAATTCATTATGCCTTTATGCTTTTATCTGTCACATTTGCAATTTTGTCACATACTTTTATTTCATTCAATAAACTCCATCTTAAATCTAATAATTCCCCAAAATTTCCCCCTTTAAGTATCAATTAGAGTGTGCCTCAATTAATTCCCCTTTAATCCATAATCAAAATTTATCATAATATAATCCCTATATAATTACTACATTCTAGTTTAATAACAATAATCTCCTAACTACTATATGTCACATGTGCATATATATATTTTAAGCAAGGTTCCGCATGGTATTCCCCTCAATTTCTAAATCATTTGTTGTTTCAAATATATTGATCTATTCAGTTAATTATAGAAACTGGTGTTAGTCTTTTCACTAGGATCCTCATAATTCACTTTAACTATATTCTTTGTTTTATTATCCATATATAAATTAACAACAATCCTTAAAGAAAAAGCCAATTAAATAGAGAAAATATATATCAATTTCATTCACATTTAAAAGCTACGTTGTTCAATCGAACAAAAATAATGGAACACCTCAGCTCCCAACACCCTTCTTGGGACTGGAGGTCTACCTTCCCAACCCCAAATCCACCAGACCAGCATTACCTCCACATAGGTAACTTGGTGAGCTTGTATCACCGGATTGCTCGGCGAGGCAAAATCTTCCGCGGTGTAGAGCTGGAGAGACACTTTCTCTGGTAGATCACATTCAAAGGGTACCTGCAGCCGAGGATCAAAACGAGATTCGTTGATTGCTCCCCTTGGTGTGCAAGCAGATGAGTTTGTCTCGATCTGCAAATGGTGTCTGCAGTGTTTAAGAGGCTCAGATACGCCGATGGAAGAGAAGAGAATATGGGAGGGATTAAAATAGGAGAAGATAGAAAAGAAGAGAATATGGAGGGAAGAGGAGAGGAGAGGAAAGAGAAGAGAAGAGGGAAGGGAAGAGAAGAGGGGAGGGAGGAGAGGAGAGAAGGGAAGAGGGAAGGGAAGGGCAGAGGCAAAAATAGAATAAAAGATGGAATGGAATAGGATAGAATATGGAATGCAATGGAATGGAATAGAAATAAGAATAGAATAGAATTAGAACAGAATAGAATATGAAATGCAATGGAATAGAAATCAGAATAGAATCAGAATAGAATAGAATATGGAATGCAATGGAATAGAAATCAGAATAGAATAGAATAGAATAGAATAGAATAGAATAGAATAGAATAGAATAGAATATGGAATGCAATGGAATTGAAATCAGAATAGAATCAGAATAGAATAGAATATGAAATGCAATGGAATAGAAATCAGAATAAATTAGAATAGAATAGAATAGAATAGAATAGAATAGAATAGAATATGGAATGCAATGGAATAGAAATCAGAATAGAATCAGAATAGAATTAGAACAGAATAGAATATGAAATGCAATGGAATAGAAATCAGAATAGAATCAGAATAGAATAGAATATGGAATGCAATGGAATAGAAATCAGAATAGAATAGAATAGAATAGAATAGAATAGAATATGGAATGCAATGGAATAGAAATAAGAATAGAATCAGAATAGAATAGAATATGAAATGCAATGGAATAGAAATCAGAATAAATTAGAATAGAATAGAATAGAATATGGAATGCAATGGAATAGAAATCAGAATAGAATAGAATATGGAATGCAATGGAATAAAAATCAGAAGAGAATAGAATTAGAATAGAATAGAATAGAATATGGAATGCAGTGGAATAGAAATCAGAATAGAATAGAATAGAATAGAATTATTTATTGGCCAGGTGTGATTTGACACACCAGGAATTTGTCTTTGGTGCATACGGTCTCAGTGTACATAAAGGGAGAGGGGAAGCTTTGCAAAGAAGAAAAATTACAAGCCTTTGCACGGAAGAATTTTTTTTAAAAAAAAAAATTGCACATTTATAAATGAATCATGGAAAAAACAAACGTTTGTGGGTTTTCCCCGATTCCTTTTTCCAAAGCAGAAAGGGGAGACTTTGCATTTCATAGGACTTTTCTAATTTTCCTAGAAAGAATTCTTTCTCATAAACCTTGTCTAGTAGTTTTCTCCTAACCCAGAGCCAAAATCTGCTTTGAAGAGGTGGGCCGCCAATTGCCGACCATACAAATAATATTATCTAACATTATTAGGGATGAAATTAGGGATTTGCGTCAGTCCGTTGCATGACTCGAGAAAAGAAATAGCTCTTTTCTGTGTGTTTCAGCATCCCCATTTTGCAAGGTTTAATTCTATATATGTGTAACAGGATGTCCCATTGAAACTCATGGCAGGTACGCCTAAAACTGCATGCTAAACAAATCGGAATCCTAAAAACACCCTTTTATCACCTCCTCTTCTGACTTTTTTTTAAAAAAATAGCAATGGAAAAAGCCTGCAGTGTGTAATTTGTCAAGGACAAATTAAGCAATAGCAAAAAGAATTCACCAGAGTAAGAACAGCATAGCCTCAGGACAGGGATTGCAAACCGAGGAACTGGGAATTCGTTTTAGAGTGAAAAGAAATTTCTTCTTACCGTGACTTTCCCCGGAAACACAGGCAGCGTTAGGATGAGCTGGGATGATAGAAATAAATAAATAAATAAATACATACATACATACATACATACATACTAACTTACTGACTTACTGACTGACTGACTGACTTATTTACTATTTACTTATTTACTATTTACTTATTTACTATTTACTTATTTACTATTTACTTATTTACTATTTACTGATTGGATATAAATGACTTTGAGTAATTTTGCTTTAAGAAAAAATAGTTGCATAAAATATCCTGCTATATTTGCGAGGCTTCGGGTCAGGATTTTGGGGGCTTCAGGTGAGGATTTGGCTGGATTAAGGCCAGGATTTGGGAGGCTTCAAATTAGGATTTTGGGGGCTTCAGGCCAGGATTTAGGGGTTCCAGGCCAGAATTTTAGGGGAAACTTATAAAAAAAATACCTTACCTGGTTTTTCACGTGGACCCCCCCTTCGAGTTGGGTGGAACATTTATCCAGGATGCTGTTGAGGACAAAGTGAGTTGTGTTGTCCCTGGCCCTGCAGCTGGGATCTTTCAAGGTGATGGCATCGACCCGTGTCGGTAAAGCCTAAGGGGTTGCAAAGAGAAGGACAAACCACGGTTAGCTGGGAGATGTTTCAACAGGGACAGCCCAAGGAGAGAACAAGCAAGCTTGTGGATGGAACAGAACTCTTCCAGCAGGGTTGCTGAAAAAAGAAGCACGGGGTTGGATTCCCAGGTTGTGCTCAACCTACGCAGCCTCTGACTCTGTTGGGGTGTATTGATCCAACCCCTGTATTTTTTTGATCCATGGCAGTCTGCCTGGGGCTTCTGGGATGGTGTTCTGACCCAGGCTTTGTAAATCATAACTAATCACAAACTAGTTTTAAAAGCAAAACCTATTTTATTGCAACGCTGGGAATGGTTTTCATTCCCAGCCAGAACTAATCTTAAAACAGTCCCCCAAGATAAGCACCCACCTTTCAGTGCTGTGGAATGCGGCCAAAAAACAGAATTATCCAATAAAAGAAACCAACCTAAGTAATAAGGAAAAACCAACCAAAGTACACAGAGCTTCAAGGAAGACTCGGAACCAATCGAACTACTTTGCTTCCTGCAAACGTTTCATCATCTAGGCCTGACTTTTATCCCTTATGGGAGGGGCAATCACCTCCCAGCCTTACTCCCAAGTCGCCCCTTTTGTGCCTTCTGGCAGCTCTGTACATAGGCACACTGGGAACAGGCTCCCCTTGTTCCTCTGCCTCACTGCTGCCAGACTCCAGAGGCTCCAGAGTCAGCATCCCACTCCCAGATGGTCCTGGCCCCATCTCTGCATCGGATGCAGGACCCTCATCTGAGTCCTCCCCCAGACTCCCTGACTGGTCCCCCGTTCTTCCCCACCATCCGATTCCGCTGTCGGCAAACCACAACAGATAGCTAGTCCAACCTCCATGGAAGAGTCCAAGTTGATTAACCTTGGCTGACCTTCCCGGAAAGGGGGAGCAGTCAGGGAAACTGAGGCCGAGCTGCCCAGGATCCCGGATGGACTTTCCTTACCGCCAGATAGATCTTGAGAAGAGCAATTTCGATGCTGCTATCCAAACACTTCCACGGCTTGCAAAGGTTAATGAGTTGGTGGACTTTCACGGTCAGGTTTTCTGCCGCCTGGGGTGGTGGAGTGGTGGTGATGACGGTTGAGCCTGTAAAACAGGACACCCCCCCCCCAAAGATATGTGAGAACAGGACCTGGAGATGGCTTGTTTCTTTCCCAGGGGCCTCAAGTCATCACAGATGGAGTTCTGTATCTCTGCAACTCCTGTGCCGAGATCTGAGACCTGGGATCTAGAAAGCCTCAGCCAGCATTTTAAAATTATTTTGCAGACTTTGGAATCTGTTACTGGCACAGAAAAAGATCTCCAAGAACTTCCTCATCAAGAGGTGAAGCTCAAGTGCCTTCAGGTGTTGCCTTCGGACGTTGTGGGTGCTCCATCACTTTTTAAGAAGAGATCGGACAGCCACTTATTTGAAATAGTGTAGGTGTCAGGATTCCGGCAGTTACCCCCATTTAAATCATGAGTCTCGAGCCAAACTTCCAAAACTTCAAAAGGATTTATTGGGAGTTAAAACTGTCCGTCGCTGCCTGGGTGTAGCCAACTCTGAGACACATCAGTCATTGTCACCCTTGACCCTGGTTTCCCCTCCACCCCTTGGGTGTATCCTAATTCATATTCTCCAATGGGACACCTCCATAGCCCAGAGTCATCAGTCATGCTCTCCAGTTAGAATTTTGCATGGCAGAAACTTCAGTCACCTAGTTACTATCTTTGAAAACATTTATGGAATGCAGTTTTGGTTTGCAAGCAGTCACACTGCTCCCCCTCTCCTTTTCTGTTGACCAGAGAAATATTTTATGAGTTGACAGTAGGTTCTCCTGCTTGAGCAGGGGGCTGGACTAGAAGACCTCCAAGGTCCCTTCCAGCTCTATTCTGATTCTGAAAATGGGCTGTTTTGAGATAGCTATGTTCCAAATTTGGTTTCTTGGTTCTTTGTTTCTTCCAGAGTCCCATCAAGAGCTTCCCAACCTTTTTAAGTTTCCCTAGAACAGTTGGAAACACCCAACTCAACAAACCAACTCAACTAGCCTTCCAACTGCATGGAATCTAACTGGATCCCTTGAAGATCCCTGGATCTTCTCCTTGGCTGCCTCCGGCCCAGATTGTGTTGTGCTGACTCACCACAAATCCTCTTGTATTCCAGGCTGATGGTTTTGGCCGAAGGGATTTCAGTGTAGGAAGCCACGAAGGAATTGTTGCGGGCCTTTTGAATCAGGCCCTCCTTGTTGTCTGGAAGGGTCGTACCGTTGTGCATTCCGGAGAAGGCAGCAAATGAATATTTACCAGATACCTGAGGGAGAGAGAGAGAAAGAGAAGAGGAGGAGAAAGAAGGAGAAAGAGAAGATGGAGAAGAAGAAGGCAGAGAAGGAGGAGGAAGAGATGGAGAAAGAGAAGGAGGAGGAGGAGAAGCCAGAGAAAAAGGAGAGAAAAAGACATGGAGGAGGAGAAAGAAAAGGCAGAAGAGGGGGATGTGGAGGAGATGGAGAAGAAGAAAAAGGAGGAAGAAGAAATAGAGAAGAAGAAGGCGGAGGAGGAGGAGGAGGAGATGGAGGAGGAAAAAGAAGCGAAAGGAGAAGATGGAGGAGAAAGAAATCAGAGGAGGAGGGATGGAGAGCAGGAAGAGATGGAGAAGGAGAAAAGACAAGGAAGAGAAGGAGACAGAAGGAAGAAGAGAAGGAGGAGGAGAAAAAGAAGGCTTTTTAAAAGGCTTTTTTCTGCAACAATTTTAAAATTAGTCTTAGAACTTATTTAGAATTACTGTCTTAGAAAAAAAAAAAAAGAGCAAACAGCCCACACCCATTTTTAAGCCATTTCTTCTCCCTGTGTGGTTGCTGACATAACCCCCCCTTTCCAAGAAACTTTTCCTTCTACAGAAACGAAGAGGAAAAGAAAGAGGAAAAAGAAAAAGAAAGAAAGAGGACAACAATCCCACAACCTGTTAGAGGGGTCTACATTTCCCAGGCATCCCACTTTGACCCATGCAACATTTCCCAGTGTGAGCTCTTCCTTTCAAATGTAACTTGAAAGTTTGTGGGACACTTTTAGAAAAGCACGTTCCTTTCTAAGGGTTGCATCTCATCCACAAACAGAGTTTGTGGGAGTCCTTATCATTTGGCATTTCACTCAGCACCCCCGGTAAAGTTTGTTTTGGCTAATTTGGAAAATCTGCCCCCTTAGGAAATTTGAAGTGTTCTTTTCGCCTATATATTTCCGAGAAGCGCAGAGTTGCATTAAAAAAAGGGGGGGAGATTTCTTCCCCGGCATCCATTCTTACCAAGAGTTGCACGAAGGAAAACCCGTGGCCCATTTTCCACAGCGTGTTTTGGTGGCTCTTCAGCCACAGAGCCAAAGGCACTTCCGCTTTATGCTCCGGACGTCCATCCTTGCAAACCGTTTTTACGTTCACTTCCACCGTCTGCATCCTGCAAACGAAACATCATCAAAAAGTGAAGACCAAATAAAAAAAAAAAAAAAAAGCTTTTCTTCTGAACTTTTAAGTTACAATTCAAACATGTTCTCCTCAGGGAGGTACAACTTTGTCTAGAAGTTCAGGAAAAGTTGCAGTTATTCAACAAGAATTGACCAAACTTTAATTTGGCCCTGTGGAGGATTTTGTGCTGTGATGATCTTAGCATAGGTTTCTCTTTTGGTTAACTTAATAGCTGCACGAAGTTTGCATAAAAATACACCCAGTTGTGCACTTTATTTTCTTCTCTGAGATGAGAGAACCAAGGTGGGGATAGCAATGGCACTCAGACTTATATACCACTTCACAGTGCTCTACAGCCCTCTTACGGTTTATAGATTCAGTATTATGCCCCTAACAATCTGGTCCTTAGATAGATAGATAGATAGATAGATAGATAGATAGATAGACAGATAGATACTGTATGTAGATAGATAGATACTGGAGATCAATAGATAGATAGATGATAGATAGATAGATACTGTAGATAGATACTGTAAATAGATAGATAGATAGATAGATAGATAGATAGATAGATACTGTATAGATACGATACATAAATACATAGATACTGCAGATAGATAGATACGATAGATAGATAGATAGATAGATAGATAGATAGATAGATAGATAGATAGATAGATAGAAGAGATAGGATAGATAGATAGATAGATAGATAGATAGATAGAAGAGAGGATAGATAGATAGATAGATAGATAGATAGATAGATAGATAGATAGATAGACAGATAGACAGATAGATAGATACTGTAGATAGATAGATAGATAGATTATGATAGATAGATAGATAGATAGATAGATAGATAGATAGAT